CGAAGGGAGGCAGGGGCTGCAGCTGCAGCTCCTGCTCGAGTACGTGAGGAACAGGCTATTTGGGCCTGTTCCGCATCCCTGTTTCCGTGCCTGAGTCTTAGGAGCAGGTCGAAACAATGAGGGCCTGAAAATGGCCCTCCGTTTCAGGCTGAAAACTCTGGGTCTGAAAAGACCCAGAAATAGGCTGAAACGAGGTAGGGCCTGCAGGCCCTCGTTTTTCAGCATCCAGGCTGAAATGAACGGGGCCTGTAAGCCCTAAGTTTTAGGCTTTTAGGCTGAATGTCCGGGACGGGCCCTGTAGGGCCCGTGTGGCTACGCAGTATGCCACATGCTGCATCCGCCGTTGTTTCTTTTTTTTTTTTTTTTTGTGTGTGTGTTAAAGATTTTCCCCACAACAGCCCCAATTCCACCCAGATGAATAGATTCAGAATCAAAGCAGTCTTCGAGAGCATTTGAGATGAGACAGTCACAGTCCAACATATTAAAGCAATTTTATAATTAGACAGTTTTTTGGTTGTCCTTGGGGTACCCCTTCCATTGTTCTTGCAACTCCCCTTTTACTGTGCCTCTTATGTAAAAGGCTGCCCACGTTGAGTGTGTGTGTGCTTCAGAGAAACTCTGCATTTAGGACAGTGCGTGCGTCCTGTGAGCTTACTCGAGGGCATCATTGGACTGTTGCTGTCTTTTGTTTTTGTTTGTTTTTTTTTGTCTTCTTTTTTTGCTTTTTTTTGTTTTTGTTACTGCTGCTGTCTTCTTTTTTTTTAATTATATATATGAACTTCAGGCCGGGGAGGTCTGTTTGAAAAGGTGATAAGAGCATCCCTTTCAACCAGAGCCCTGTGTAGAAGGCTCCATCTATTGGTGGGGAGCTGCACCTGCTGGAAACCGGGTCCAGCGTCCCACCAGATAAATAAACAATGAATGATAAACCAGGATATGCTGGGAAACGGGCCCAGCGTCCCTTATGATGAATGAAAAGGCTGGGAAGACAGGCCCAGTGTCCCTCCTGTGTGAAGTCTAGGGAATCTGGCCCATCTTCCGTTATTTGTCAGAACAGCATTGATTACTCCACGGCATGTGGAGGATTGACTGTCCGGTGTAGAAGGCTCTATCTATTGGAGGGGAGCTGCACCCGCTGGAAACCGGGTCCAGCGTCCCACCAAAACAAATAAGCAATGAATAATAATCCAGGGTATGCTGGGAATCGGGCCCAGCGTCCCTTATAAAGAGTGAATAAGGTTGGGAAGACAGGCCCAGTGTCCCTCC